CGTCGACATGGCCAAATTGGTCGAATTAGGCTACGAACTGCAGCCCCATCCACCGTATACTCCAGATTTAGCCCCGTGCGACTTCTTTTTGTTTCCAAACTTGAAAAAGTAGCTCTCCGGGCAGAAATTTGAGTCGAATGAGGAGGTAATCGCTGCCACGGAAGCCTACTTTTCAGACCTCGAGGAAACGTATTTTTCAGATGGGTTAAAGAAGTTGGAGCATCGCTGGGCCAAGTGTATCGAACTAAAAGGAGACTATGTTGAAAAATAAAACGCCACTTTTCCAAAATTTTCGTTTTTCTTTTGTAGGCTAAGTACTTATCGGACCACCCTCGTACCCCTCCTCAGGTAGGGGTGGTTTATAAGGGCTGTAAGGTTCGTGGGGATGACGTAATTTAGGTTGAAGTTGGGTTAGCCTGTCCATGGTATATATCTTAATTTTGTTGTAGAACAGTAATTGATTGAAGACGCTTGACACAAAATTCGACGTCGAAACGTTCAAAGCTATATGTTCTGAAAGGTACAATATTCATGAAATGAAAAACTTTGAAATTTAATATCTCAAAGAAAAAATAAGCAAACTGAGCAAACTCAACGGCATTTAAAAGGACTAGACTGCTTCTTTAATATGTCGTTTGTAGTTTTTTACGTGTAGATAATGTCGTGGTGCTACATAACCTCAAATATAGGTAAAAATCGCTATTTTCACACTTTTAGATTAAGATATCTCAAAATCCTGACGTGCTGGAGCAATTCTGAGGCCGGATTTGGTTTCAGCGCCAAAAATTCTTTTGGAAAACATGTATGGTTTGCTTGTGCATAAAATTAAGGTATTTTTGTAGGACTGTGTAATAGAAATAACTGGTCCATCTGGTAGCTTACACTTTAATATCAATTTAATTATCAATGATATAATTTTTTGCTCCCTGACTTTATTTTATATTTTTTTATTGCGATAATCTAAAAGCACAGGGTCTGAACTACTATAATTGCTTTGTGCGTATTTATTAACATAACATTGTAATAACGTTAAAAAAGCATTCGATTGCCGTATTCAAATCATCCTCTACAGCTCATCGTAGTACTTTGACTGGAGTTTTGAAAAGCGCGACCGTCCGCTATGAAAAAAAACCATGAACTTATCCTTTGCGTGAAACCTGAGATTACCCAACCAAGTGCTGTGTTATGTGCAACTAGCAAAGACTAAGAAAATGTTTCAAGGCCCGAGCAAAGTAATTGGCCATAAATGTCAACGTCTATCCGTACATCGACAAGGTCCGAAAGAAGCAAGTCGGGGTCTGCTGAAAGTAAGCTTGCGAATTGTTGAAGATCCAGCTTAACCAAAAACGCCGATGTTAAGCTTGGAGTTCAAATTTTGTCGCGATTACTTTGCGAATCAAGTTCCCAGCTGAGCGATTTCTCCGTTACAGCCTTCGACGTAAATAAAATAAGTTTCCACATGTTCCCTTTTAACTCCTAAAATTTGAATGAATGATTCCGAAATGAAAGTTGCTTCCAAACCTTGATCTAAAAGTAAACAGGTACGAGTCTATTTGCCGTACAAATCTATAGCAATCACTTGGATAGTGACAAGAAGCACAAAGCATTTGTTCGTCGGACGACGAATTTATATTAACAGAGTATTTGATGACATGTGCTTTTACTTGCAATAAAGCCGGATGCCTTATCAATCCTTCTATATAGGTTTCATTTCGTTATGGATTTCATGGATTATGAACATGTAATGAGGAATATTGAGGTTCGTTACAATAACGTCAACATGTGTACACTCATGTTGTGCAGATGTAAGTAATTGAAGTAAAGTGAGTTACAGCTGTCTATGGAAGCTCGTTTTTCATTCATGTTTTCCATTTTGAAATCCGGGTATTATCTAATAAGATGTTGTTTGGAGCTATGTGGACACGACCGCAGAGCTTTAATTGATTGTCCAGGTCACGTATGATGAATTCATTGGTTTCGGTAAAAATTTTGCACTTTTGGCGCCATTTGGAAATGTTTAATTGGTGAAACTAACTTTGACATCCCATGTCCTTTACATTCAAACAACGCTTCTATAGTCTAGACCAAGTCGAAGTTAATTCCAAGCCAGTAACTCTTTGAAAACTCCATTTAAGAAAAAAATTACACAGGCCAACAATTTTAAGAATAGATTTTCATGCGTTGATTCCGAATCTGAGATCAGAATTGCTCTATCACCCTTGGTTTTCCATATATCTTAACCTAAAACCGTCAAAAACATGCTTTCTTGCTACATTTGACCACTTGTAATATGACGAAGAATTTTTTCTGCGCAATTCTAACAGTTCCTAAAAAAGCAACTCTTGGGCTACAAAAAGCACTATTCAAAATTAATTTAATAATTTTTTCAACGGAGATATGGTCGTTGGAAAAATATTGGATCTGAACATTCTATTATAGGCTTATAATAACACGAAACTAAATATTCACTTCTCATGCCTATAAATGCACGCGCATAATAGCATCAGAAGTATGAGGGTCCTCGTATAGCACAGTGTTCAGTCTGCTGAAAACCCATAACCTCAAACTCGATATTTCCTAAGCCAGTAGGAATTCACATATCATTTCTTGAGTAATTCTCAAACGAGGACGTTTGACGGAATCACATCAAACCGACGCTTAGTTGGGCACTGCTTGTCGAGTTTCGAGAGCACGGTAATATTGAGTTTCGTGTTGTTATAAGCCTATAGTAGAATGTTTAAATCCAACATTTTTCAAACGACCACATCTCTGTTGAAAAAATTATAAAATTAATTTTGAATAGTGCTTTTTGTAACCCAAAAGTTGTTTATTTAGAAAGTGTGGACAGAATAGGGCAGAAAAAATCCTTTGTCATGTTACAGGTGGTAAAATATAGCCAAAAAAGCGTGTTTTTGACGCTTTTAGGTTAAGATATCTAAAAGAACCAAGGGTGATAGAGCAATTCTGAGCCCAGATTTGGAATCAGTATATGAAAATCTAATAAGTATACTATGTCTGGTTTCAGGTTCTTGACTTTTATAAAATTTTGTTAACCTGTGTTATCTTCGATAATAATGTTTTTGGTTTAAAACAACATTTTTCAGCACAAAAGTGAAGTTTTTTGATAATTTGAAGTGTACCACCACAAAGAGCATACTTAAAACTATGAGAATACATCAAAGTGCGATTTTTTTCGCTTTGAGCACTGAAAGAGAAGTATACAAAATATATCTAGCTGGATGTTAATAAATTAATGCGTTTATCAGAATATTTATAAAATATTGTTAAACCCGTGACATTTGAGCTAACTATTTTTGTATGTTGTAATTGAGAATTCGCTCTGCTATCATTTAAAATTATAAGAAAATCGGCGAATAGCTTCCTCTCAAATGTTATTTGTCATTAGTTTTCACAAAACAGACACTGCAAGTGATACACAACTGAAAAAAATTATACAAAACAGATAAAAATTTCCAAATTTTCCAGCGATTTATAAAGGGCTATATTTTCGTGAAAAATGATCATATTAAGATGAAAAAAAGCATTTCGAAGTTCATAGTTTCTAATTTTAGGATTTTTCAGTTAAAATTTTTTTTCAGTCTGATATTAATTTGAAAAAAGTACAAAAACTGGTTTGTTAGGTTATTTTAGAAATTCTGCCTCGATTTGGTAACCGTTTCAAAAAGTACCAATATTTGTAGGTTGTTTTAACTTAATATATATCTAACATCCTTGCCAATCTTCAAAGTGATCGGTCAAGCCGTTTCTTTGGACTGAATTGTCGAATTTTTAAAAAGAAGGAACACGTTTTTATTTGTTAATGTGAATAAATGATGATAATGGCTAAAAAAACTTTTTTTTGTCGACAATTGGACATCGAAAAATTATCAAAGTTTAAAAAAAAGAAAGAAAAGAAAAATTTTGTTTTGTCATTCAACAAGTACCGGCATTTGTATCACCCAAAGTATAGCACGTGGAATAGCATGGTCGAATTTATGTTTTTTGTGCATACGTACGTCTGTCTGTCCATACATTTATCTGTTTATATGTCTTTGATGCATTGAATCTAAATTCGGCGTCAGAATTCGTTCACAATCTCTAGTTCTCTAGATATCCTAACCTAAAAGTGCAAAAAAACTGTTTATTTGCTAACATTGAGGTTACATCACACCTTGAATAAATTTTTTTCCAAAATTTGAAATACCACTTTAAAGTATAATTCTTACCCTTTAAAATCCTTTTCTCAGACCTGAAAAATCTTTTTGTTTCACCGAAATATCGTTGTTTCAAGTTTTGTATTTTAGTGATTTCGAGAAAATTGAGTTGTGAGGGTCAAGGCTTTCTGCCGTGCAGGTTACAAGATCTGTGGGTTACGGAAATTGTGCTGTAAGGGTCGGGAGTTATTGATTCGCAGATCATAGAGTACGTGAATGAAGAGAATTGGGTTGTAAAGATTATTATTGTTGTGCAAATTACAGGGCTTGTGGGTGAAAGTAATCGGGTTATAAGGGTTCAGTGTTAATGCTAATGGATAATATATGGATCACTTGCATCCAAGTTCAGTTTTTTCAGCCTCAAAAAGGGTTGAATAAGAATTCCTGGAATTTGAAGTTACTTTCGAAATTGGTAAAATACAAAACTTCAAATAACGATATCACGGTAGAAACAAAAATTTTCGAGGTCTGGGAAAAGAATTTCAAAGGGTAAAAGTTACAATTTAAGGTGGTATTTCTGGTTTGCAGAAAAAAAATTTATTCAAGGTGTGATATAACCTCAAAGTTAGCTAAAAATAGTGTTTTTGCAATTTTAGGTTAGGATATCACGAGAACCAGAGATAATGGACAGATTCTGACACCGGATTTGGAATCACCGCATCAAATTCCTTCGGATACATCTCGTCACGTGTCTGGGTTTTTTTGGCTGTCGGCCTCTGTATTACTTAAGGAGTTGAAAACAATATATAATAAAATAATTGTAAGAATACATCAATGAAGTCAATTTTATATATTTATTTATTTTTTATAATCGAATTTGAAAGTGTGGTGAAATCAACATATATTTTGAAATTTTCAATCTTTCATTTCACCTTCTTCATCTTCTTCTTCAACACCACGTATATACATAACATTATTACATCTTATCAAAATTTCTCCAAGACTTCCAGTACAATCGCCGTCAATGTACTCTTCTGCATTTGCTAATTGAATATTCATATAACCGTCAACAGACACTAAGTATCCTTTATAAGTATGTCCCCATTTCAGTTTTACCATAACTGGTTTTCCTGTCAGACCATTTAAAAATGGTTTAGGGTTTATTGGCATAGTGGCCGCCATTATACTATCTCGATCTGAAATGAAAATTCATAACATATCAATAGCATAGCTTGTGTATAGATAATAAACAGATATTTTTTAACAATTATAATAAATATGTAACACTTTCGAATTCATAGAGTATTTGATAACCATTCTTCATTTATTTCATGTACCATGTAATAATAAAATTTATATGGTTATTATCTGAGATAAGAATTATCAAGTTTTGAACTTAGAAAAATCCATCGTATTGAGAATGATATGGTAATTCACATATTATAGAAATCTTTTTAGAATAAAATTTAGAATTATTTTTGAAGTACTAGTCAGCGTTTGATTACTGAGGTGTGCAGACGTCCCAACATTATGCACTACCTAAAAATCTAAAGTATTAGCGAATAAATGAAGTAACAGATAAATTAAAAATTTAATTTAATAAACTCCAAAAAAGAAAGCAACGGCTGAAATGGCTACTTAGTCAGGAGATGACAAGAACACTCCTAATAAAAACAACGAAAACTGAAAAATCGTAAGCGGCAAAAGATAAACAATCAGCTCAGAAAACAAAACTTAAAACAAAAATCAACAAGCCTAATTATCGGACTACCCTAAAAGTAACACAAGTAATAAGTATAAAATACTTCAAGAAAATAAAGAAAATAAAGGAAGTCATAGTGAAAAAGAAAACAGTGAATCAAATAAGTTGAAAAGAAAATCCTTTTCGACCTTTGTTTACAATCCAGAGAATATTAAATTGTTAGAAAATCTACTGAATATTCGATCAAAAAATTCCAACGGGAATTTCACTTTGAAAGTGATAAAACTACACATAATTAAAATTTAGCCAAAAGTATTTGTCAATTATTACTGCATTCAAAGAAAGAAAACACAATTTTATACTTACTAGCGTAAAGAAGAAAAAGATTTCAAAGTTATATTAAGAAGCATTTTTTGCTAGTTGCTATCAATGAATTAAGAACAGCCATAAAAGAACATGGACATAAAGTAATAAGATTCATAATATAAGGCATCACATCTCAAAAATACCATTGCCGCTTTTCACAGATGAAATTGAACATGGTTATAAAATCCAGGAAATGTATAAAGTAAACCGACTATTAAACACAGTAATCAAATTCGAGCCACCGAACGTTAAAAGAGAAATTTGAATTTGAATTTAGATAAATTTAAATACTGTTTTGATTTAATCTTTTTTCTCTTAGTCCAGGAAATAGTTTTTGCTGTAATCGCTGACGAATTGGACATCCTTTATAATTTGCGGTGTGATTTTCTTTGGAATTTGCACATGTTACGTCTTTCTTTTTTATTAATTATTCTTTAGTTTGGTGTAGTTCAGCACATTTCATATACACAGCACTTTTGAAACAATAGTTTTTTGTACGCCCGTATTCTTGGCAGTTTTTACATTGAGAAATCTCTCTTTTAACGTTAGGTGTCTTAAATTTGATTATCATGTTTAATAGTCCGTTTACTTTATAAATAATCATGTTCAACTTCAACTGTTAAAAGGGGCAATGATAGTTTTCTGATGTGATGCCTTATATTATGAATACTTATTTCCTTATATGCATGTTCTTCTGTGGCTGTTTTTAATTCACCTATATCGACTGACGGGTGAATACTTCTTAATATAATTTTGAAATCTTTTTCTTCTTTGCACTGGTAAGTGTAAAATTGCGTGCTTTTTCTTTCAATGCAGTAATCCAATAACCACCATACTATGGCTGCTAAAACATTATTTAGTTTTTTCTTTATAATATTAAATACAATATTTGTTTAGTTTTAAATACTATGATTTGATTCGGAGCTTAAAATAAATATTATTTTATTCATTTAACATTATTTTGATAGACTCATCTTAACGGCCGTAAAACGAAAATAGAAATTTTCTCAGGAAAATTTACGCAACTCCAGGCACTCTACAAGTGACGTAATTACATGATTGCAGTCTTGTAATTACCATAATCTTGGTGCGAATAATCACGTTGACGAATTTATCATTTAACAATCTGGTTTTTGGACGCTGCTTTTCGCATGGATTAAAGCATATGTGATGCTATATTATTTACATGGTCTATGAAATAATTATAATTGGATTATTGATTTTGTCAATTAATCGTGCATCCTCATATATTATTGACGATCAATCGATAGGACTCGATCTATAAAATGAATACGAGTCTATCGGCTTGGGGAGCTCATGTCGCGCATCAAGGTTGAGCACCACTTCCATATAGCCGCGGCGCGCGCTGGCTAGCCCCCCTAGCCGCTCCATGCTTGCCCTGGCTTTTAAAGCCGCGCGCTGATTGGTTGATCTTTTAAGTTAATTATCTAATTACCTAATTTTCAAAAAAAAACTAATAATGGCGCCTTGAATAACTTTTCAAGACAAATCCAACAGTATCCATACTTACATGTTTTTGAATCACCCTGTATATATATACACATATGTACATATATATGCATTGTGACGGTAAACGTCAAATTAGCGCTAATTGCCTAACCTAGTAGCTGCCTGCGGGGGCAGCACTTACAGGGAGACGAAATATGTAACGACGGAATACGGCACGCGAGTAGACGGAACGCGCGCGATCGAAAACGAACCAGTGAAGAATCAGCTCCCGATACGGAAGCCACGGAAATCGAGACCGACAAGCTAATTACCTGTGCGCACGAGAAAGATCGAGAGGCTGTCGTTACAGAGCTACACGGAGCGCAGACCTGAGCCAGAAAAAGCAGGATCGTCACCTGCGGAATCCAGAGTGTGTGTGTGTGTGTGAGGTTTCGCCATCGAGGGCGAAACCGTGTGCGCGCGAACTCGCGATCCGCGGCATAGAACAGACAGACTTTCCCGTAGTGAGAGTGCGAATTGTTCCCTTTGTCTTCATACGTCTGCAAAATAAAGCTTAATCTCGCGACCGCGATTGCATGCGTGATAACTAATTTTCCGTATTCGAAGCGAAGCGTGCATGTAATAACTCTGCTAACAAAGAGCGGCGAGCGATCCGACACTTTATGTTGTCGTCGTACGAGCGCCATGGTAAACATAAACACGCGGGCCAATGCTAGTGTAACATTAAGAGAGGACAATAAAGAGTTTTCGTCCGTGATATTAACCAGTACCTTCGACATGCTTATTCCGTATTGATTCCACTCCTGTAGATTTGTTGGTTGACTGACACCCGTTCCCTCTTGCTCTCCGACTTTCTTATTTGACATAGGTGATTACGAGCGTATTTACGCGATCGTCCGAATAAAAATAATTAAACGGTAGCAACCCCGTTACAGCATATATACACTGCCGCTCACATAAATTTGGCCACCCCATCAAAAATCTGTCAAACGTTGAAGTTTTGTACCTCTATAAGGAATCATCCGATCTAAAAAATTCAGAGTACGTTTTGAAGCTTGTACCAAGCCCTTCAATATGTAATGAAAATATTTCAAAAAATAATGTTGAATTAATTTTTTATAAACAAATGAAAAAAAAAATTATCAATTTTTTTCATCCATTTTCAAATTGGCATAACTTTGTTAAAAATAATCGGATTAAAAAAAAACAAAATGGAGGTTAAAGCTATAGTACTCCTCTTTAAAAAGCGCTATGCAGAATGCAAAAAACTATGAGTCAAACTAAAAAAATCATAACAGCAAAAATTATGTGTTTTTACTCAACGAATACAAATTCAACGGAAAATATTCAAATTTAAAAAAAAAATTTTTTTTTTTACCATGAAAAAAAGATTTATATTTACAATTATTTATTAAACTTTTAGTGAAATATTATATAATGAGTGATAGAACTTGTATACATAGTATTGATTAAAATAAATAATGGATATTTTTTACAATCGGTATACAATATACTTTATAATGGTATCGTACCTATGATAATAGTAGTTCGTATACAATGAATGCACGCATATATATACCTTGATATAAAAGTAAAGACTATAAGTTTTACGGGATTTCTGCGCCGCAATACACTGCTATGTATATGCGAAACAGTGTCTTGTGTTTACAAAAATTTTTCGTGACCATGGTTCAAGGAGAGTTACAAGTTTAATCGATGATTTACTTAGTTGTCTACGTATCTAGATCGATCGATAACCATGGCCAAGCACTTGACAGGGCAAGTTCGTTTGCAAATAATTATTTTGTATAAAACTGAATACAGTAGACGAAAAATAGCAAATGAACTGCAAATTGCTAAAGGCAGTGTAGATTACAACATAAAGAAGTTTTTGACTGAACAAAACATCGTTACAAAACCAAAGAACAAGAAAAGAAAAACTACAGCAAAAGAAGATGACTACAGAGCGCTTTTGAGTATTCGAAACAGACGTCTCACAGCTCCAGAAATCACGGCTCAAGTTAATGAACATCTTGACACACCAATAAGTGTATCTACTGTTAAAAGAAGACTTGTTGAAAAAGGTTTACACGGCCGAATTGCAAAGAAAAAACAATTATTAAAAAAAGTAAACAAAAAGAAGAGATTGGAATGGGCTAAAAAATATCGGCTTTGGAATTTAAGTGACTGGAAACGTGTGTTATGGAGTGACGAATCTAAATTTGAAGTTTTTGGTTCTAAACGTCGGACGTATGTTCGAAGGCAAAACAACGAAAAATATTTGGAAAGTTGTCTAATTCCATCGGTGAAGCACAGCGGTGGGTTAGTTATGGTATGGGGATGCTTCGGAAATTCAAAAGTCAGTGATTTAAAAAAAGTAGATGGAATTTTGGTAAAGGAGAAGTACAAAAAAATTTTACAATATAATGTGGTTCCGTCTGGTACACGACTCATCGGTCCATCCTTTATTTTTCAACAAGATAATGATCCGAAGCATACAGCGAAAATATGTAAAAATTACTTAGCAAATCTTGAGAAAAAAAATACATTACAAGTTATGGAATGGCCACCACAGTCACCGGATCTGGGAATCAAGCATGATATTACAAAAATATTGCGGTAAAAAGAAAGAAAAAAAGGTAGCTGATATATCCGCTT